TGGCCGCAGATATACTGGCCAAGGAGAATAAGAACTTCACCACCACCACCACCTCCTCCTCCTCTCTCTCTCTCTTCCTCCCATCTCTCGCTCCATCTCCGAGCTACTGTTTAGACAGGAAGCTGTGTGCTCAGAGAAGCTGTTGTCTTGTTAAATGGTACAGCTGAGGAGGAAATGGATAACAGCCAACCTTGATAATTTTACATCCTCTGCCTCACACAACAGACTGAATCACTGCAAACAATTTGCCTCAAAGGCTACGGTTCTTTCATGCTGCTTTATAAGTTAGTACTGTCATACCTTATACAGCTTTACCATTTACCTCCAATTCCTCATTCTTGTTTGCATGCTTACATTTTGTGCTAAACTGAGAATTAGTTTTGAAGGTATTTGGTCATAGTATCAGAAACACTGTAAACCTGATGTAAATTTACAGTGAAATCTGAACTGTATTCTGCTGTATTAATGTCGGACAGTATTACACTGTAAACTGCATTTTAAGAGAATGCCATTATTTACAGATATTTACTGACAAAACTGTGACCAGTACTGTGTTGTATATTTACAAGAACACAGTAATGAACTGAGATTTTATTTCTATTAATACACTGTAATTTTAAAATACAGTAAGAAACTAATACAAAATAATACAGTACTGTGCTGGCGAAGCTGCTGCCAGTTAATTGCGGTAAACATACAGTGAAAAGTCTTTAGGGGAAAATGTAAATTTAGAGAGTTTTGGTCCCTACACCTAACCAAACTGTGAGCATTTCACAACATTACTGTGATGATGAAGATGACCTGACTTCCTTTCCTGCATGTCCCAAATCCACAGTTAACAGGAGGGATTAGTCTATGCACTGCACACAATTTAGAAGTTTAAAAAGGTGTGAGGGACCGGATGGACCAACTGGCATTGCCATCCTTAGAGGATAGTTTGACAAACATACCTGTGAAAACACCTTGGCCTCTATTGCAGTAGGACATAAATTCAGTCAGACAATTTGCACTAAAATGGAAAGACGAGGGTTATGTTTGACCAGTAAACGTCAAACACTCAAAGCACGCTAATGTGGTTACTTTAAGGCTCAGGTCTACTAGCTCAGAGGTGATATGGACATTAAGTGCAACCACAGAGAGTGGTATTATTCATTTTACTTGATTGCCAGTTTCTGATTACTGTTATCAAATTTGGATGTCATTATTGCACAGATGTAGGCCCATTGATTAAGGGGTGATTCAAACTCTCCTTTAAGACTTAATTTAAACTGCAATTAATCAAGCAGGGTGATATCTTTGACACAAAATTTCAAAGAGACACAGTATGTCAAACACAGTCTGATTGGAGGAGACTACCACAGAGTAAAAACAGCCTTTTCAAACTGTTCAACACAAGCAGCAAATTGGTTGGAAATTAAAACTAATGAGCAATTACCCCACCAATGAACTTCTATTAATATCTGTTTTCTCAATGCTCTCCAACTGAATCCTAATTTCTACTTATTTAATCTATCTGAAAAAATATGACACTTGTTTTTAGTTCCTTAATCTTTCATTGTATTCACTGTGAGCCACAGAGAATGTGCTTTTGCTTTCTGATGCACGTCCAAGAAAATAACTCGTAATCTCCGAGCTCCTCCTGAAAGACTGTGAATACAGTGTACACAGGCAAACATATTTCTCCATAATCAAAACATGGTAACTGCTATTGGTTCAGTTTATTTGAACATTCATAAATACTGTATTTGCATGCAGCTTCTATTATGAACCTCCCATCCATATTTCTGCCACAGTAAAGCTATTTACTCTTTAGAAAGGGAAGAGCTGCACTCTGCTTGAACCGACGGCTCGTTTCCGATTTAATCTGGTATCCTCTACCAGTGCGACTGCACATGAAAGACCCTTCAACACGGGACGGTAATGACTTAACAGGGTGCGTTCACAAAGAGAAATATCTAACAATATAATCAATTATTCACCCACTCTCTCGGCCTGGAACAACTATGGTACAGCAGAGGATTGGTGTGAGTGCATTGCTTTGACTGTGGAATTCAACACTGTTATCGATGAGTAGTGAGGTAAATTGAAGGTAATTGTTGTTGTTTTTCAACAAACTAAAGCATTGTTGCGTGGGTATTACCATTTTGAATTAAAGGTTTATAGATTTGCAGTGATTTTCTCTCCAGCAGAGCTGAGTGTAATGTTCAGTAACCTCAGCAGGAGTTTTTAAGGAACCTGCGTGGAGATTCATCATAAAAAACAACCTGTAATTGCAAAATGACTGGACTTCACCTAGAAATGCATTTTCATAAACGTGAACAGATGTGAATATCAGCGAGCATGCTTGAGTGTGTGCATGGAGATTGGACACACACACACGAAGGGATCTGCATTCAGAATGTGGGCGTTTTAAGAAGATCACTACCACCACCTGCAGCTCACAGCATATAATAACATCCATTATATGAACATAAAATATAACATTACCTCTCTTATCATCCTCATAGGAAACTGCTAAATGGATTTCCACTCACAGAGCCACACAAGAAGCTTGAAAAAAAGTTCAGCCTGGCTACCGCTTTTCTCCACAGTCATGCATGAGATAATATAACAGCAGAAAATCGTCATGCAGAGGCCTTTGTGTTGGAGTAAAGCAACTCATTCTGCATTTCCAACTCATTTTATACTGTCATTTGCCTCTTCTGTGTTGTGGTATTAGATCAGTGGTCTGCGTAGATAGTTCTCAATAGGCTACTTTTAGGCTCAGTGTTGGAGCAGATAAGAGGAGGCATCTGAGGCATCATAACAGAATAAAGTGAGGCACCATCTGCAATATTAATGGAGTAATTATGCAAATTAGATAACAGCTTTCATCACTCACAAAACAGTCATCTTTATTCCACACAGAAATGACGCTCATTGTTCAGACCTTTCCTTTCTGTTGTTTCACAAATATCTTGTTGATCATGTAGATAATGCTGGAAGCTGAGCCATGTTTGTACGCTTGACTGAGAAGCCTGTGCTCCCTTATCAAGTATACCGAACACCTATTCCCACAGACGCAATATGTGTCATAGTTCATGCTGTCGGATGAAAACAAATCCTAACTGTCATGCTTTAATTCCATCTACAACAATGATGGCACGCAGGAGTAAAGTGCTGTAAATGGTTTAACACACACACACACACACACACACACACACACACACACACACACACACACACACACACACAGAATATGAGTATATAAGTTGTGTTTACACTAGTGTCATTCTTGAAGTATCATATATTCAAAAATAAAACTTTACCATGCAAAGATTTCAGCAAGACCGCCTGTGTAGCAGGCCTTTGCAGTGGTGACTTTTACATAGACCAATCCTGCCCCCTAGTGTGAGAAATGTGAACAAGGGGAATTTAAATGTTGTGGTAATGTTAGTTACCACTAGAGGCTCCAGTTAATAATCTAATCTAATGCAAAACTTGAGTGATCCTCAAATTGACCCTCCACAGGGAGGTCAGAGTACAGGTCAGCCAAAGATTACTGAAATATTACCAGGAGGAGATTCTATACCATAATGGGCAATATATATATAATGTGCAATATATATATATATATATATATTTAACACTGTATATAGCACCCTATTTATTTTGCAAATGTACACACTGCACACCCTACCTCCCTTTTTTGTATTATTACTTCATGTCCTATGTTTATATTATATATATTTTTGCAAAATGTACTGTTTTTTGCACTGCCATTGGAGTTGGCTCTTTAATCTCATCGTACATGTGTACAGTGACAATAAAGGCATTCTATTCTATTCTAAAAATTGTAATTTCAAATGAGGACATCTTGGGAAGCTGTCTTTTTGTGATTCAGCTACAGAGCAGTATTCTTGGAGCTTTAGTGTCTTTTCTCAGTGGGGTTCATCAAGGCAGATGTTTGCAGTGCATGAATATGGCTCCACTGCTAAACATAGAGCCCCTAAACCTCTAGTTCTTCTTTTCAAATGTAATGTGTAAATGATTTGCTACAATATAAAGCAGCAGGGTTGATGTACTTGAGGTCAAGAATTTGAAAAGTGCTGCTCTCAACACTATGCCACCCTGCTGAGTGAAAGTAGAAAGAGAAGCAGAAAAGATAAGTGTGAGGCTGTAAAAGAAAATGACAAGAAAACCTGTTAAAATATGAGTTATACAGATCTGAGATCAGACAACGATGATTTGCATGTCTGGTCGGAGATTAAACATAAAACTACAAGTGAAATCTGAGATTTAAAGGGTCACTCCAACAATTTAGTATTGCACTTCTATAAACTGGTGGTACTCAGAAGAGACTAGATTAAAAGAAGAATGGTCAAATTGAAGATACTGAGATTTCCTGATTTTTAGTCCCAAGTATGGATCAAGCTCCAAAAACGCGACAGTCTACATTTCCCATAATGCACCCAATAGCATTACTTTGTTTCGATAGCCCTGAAAGTTTTTCCCACGTTTGGAAAATACCTTATTTTCTGCAATAAACAAGCAAAACACTTAAATATTTTAAATATGTGATAAACACTCATTTGGAGACATTTCTAATTTGCCACGTTTGTTAGTGCTACTGCTCATATTCTATTCTTTGTTGACACACTCATTCATCACAGAGGACACGGCCTGTGACTCACAGCTTTGACTGGATGCTGCCTTCAGACAAGCGCTCACTGTACTGTATGTGTCTGTCTCCAGCTTTCCACTGCACTGAGCAATGAGGATGGAAATGTTACCTAGGGAACCAGTCAGCCACAGAGTGTACATTCCTATTAGAAGACACCGATAACTACTGACTGGAAATAACTGAAGGTCACAGGTGACAACACTGCAGAATGTCTGACACCTACAATATTAATGCTGATAACCCCACCTTTCTAAGGTATGTGTTGCATTTTCTGCTAGTTAATTACACACTTCCTGTAGATACTTTTTATACAACATACAGTACATTGGTACAGCAATGGTGGAAAAGATGGGTTTATATATATTCCATACTTTTTCATTTTTACACATTTTTCTTTAGCAGTAATATTTAATGTAGAAAAATACATTGTGAACTGTAAAGGATTTGTATGACATGCTACATTTTATATGAAGTAATGCTACATTCATAGACATGGAGAGCAAAGGGTAATTTGTTCAAACAAGCAGAAAATTAGAGTGTTTTCTGTAGGGTATTCAAAAGGTTCAAAACAAAGGCCACTTAGACATAAGTCAAAAATTCTGAGTTATAATGACTTCCTCCTGGTGTGAGTATTGTTCTTGCCCAGACAGAGAGCCGCGCTGCTGGGGGAGGCCTGTGACGACACGGTGCAGGAGCTGCACGAGGCCTGGTCCACCCTGTAGGAGATGGAGTTGTAAAAGACGGGGTTGCTGTGACCGCCCACTTCATCACGGTGAGGCGGAGAGGGACCGTCATAAATGTTCAGGCCACAGCACATGCAGGAGAACAGGGCCCTGAGTCTGCTGGGTTCAGGGAGCTTAGAGTGCTCAGATAAAACATGCCTACGCTCCTCTGCGGGAGAGGGGAGAAGATTCATACAGCTGGTGCCTGCCTCCATGGGAAGGCTCAGGTTGCATAGGTTGCTCTGTCCGTCTTCGCTGTCTTTATATCTTACATCAGCAGTTTCTGCTTCAGCCTCCGACACCTCCCTATCCCCCTGCGTGTCTTTAGGCTGCGCCCCCAGCTCCTCTCCCCCTGCCTCAGGCCTCATATCAGGCTCATCAGCACTCACAGTGAGAAACCTCAGAACCACTAGGTTAAGAAATGCCCCAATGACTGTCAGCCCAACGAGAATGTACATGAAGCTAAATACCACATAGGGGGGTCGCTTCTGGAGAGTGTCTTTCTTTTGCAGGGCCACATAATCCCCAAATCCAATGGTGGTGAGCGTGATGAAGCAGTAGTAGTAGGCATTGAAGAAAGTCCAGTCCTCAAAGTGGGAAAAGGCTGCAGCTCCGATACACAGGGTGCTCATGCATGACAGAAGACCCACTAGGACCATGTTCCCCATGGACACTTCGGTCTTCCGTAAGCCCAGCCCTTGCTTGGCTCTCCGTAGTAGGTAGCGGACAAAAGTGTTGATCCTCTCGCCCAGGCTCTGGAACATGACCAGTGTCAGAGGAATGCCCAAGACAGCGTAAAACATACAGAAGGTCTTGCCAGCATCAGTGCGTGGAGCAGCATGGCCATAACCTACAAAGTCACAGTAAATAGCACGTCACATAATGTCAAGTACTACTGTTTAATGTCTATAAAGATTCACAGTCATCACGATCACGACTGTGTCACACACTGTTTTTACCCATTCTGGATAATTAGACTTCTGTTCAGGTGGAAGTTGAGCAGCAATTACCAAACTACATGATCCAATACAAATGAATGAAAGTTGTTACGTCTCCCACCCTAAAGCTAAGGTCTGGTTATACTTCCAACCTACAAATATTTGCCTGGTACTCCATTTACTTCCATTAGGGCCCAAACAAAGGACTAATTCAAGCCTGGGTTTCTATTTCCAACAGGCTCCACTGGACTTTATAGACCTTTTCCACAGCAGCCACTTCGACATGAAATAATAGGGTAAACACAGGCGTTACCAATGATACTGATTAAGGTTCCGTTCCATTCAGGTCAAATAGAGTCAGGGTGCTGCTATTGTGCATGTTGGCTCACTGGAAAGGCTCTGTTACACTAAATGAAATTGGAACCCTAATAAGTATCATTGGTAGCACCGGTGATTACCCTATTATTTCATGTTAAAATGGCTGCTGTGAAAACGGAGGGTCTTTAAAAACTGGCCAGGAAAGATGACCTTCTGAAGGATATAGCAAAAACAGAGCAGAGGGAATCCTCTTTTTGTCATGGTTCATGAGCTACGTGGTCCTGATCCTGTCAGTTTCTTCTGGCTCTCATTAAATAAGTTAACCATCTAAATGGACTGCACCTTCACTCACGTATTTGTAATTGATCTATGTTTCCATGTTTTTATTTTGGTTCTGCAGTTTTATTGGGTCAATTAATATTTTCTCACAGTGTCGTCTTTAGCTCTAAAAACAACCCACTGTACACTAACTACTCAGCAGACAGTTAGCAACAAGCCAACAAACATAGTGGAGCATTAAGCAGCTAAAGAGTCAGATATTTCCCTCAGGAATTAGTAGAGACAACATACAGAGCTAAAGTAGAGTGAATATTGAGTTTACATTCAACAAGTGGACACCAGCACAACTCTACATGAATGTTGCTCCGTAAGTGCTGGATGTGTAAATAAGCAACTGCTTTCTAACAAGTTCACCATATCCACTGAATTACATTTTCCTGTATTACACAAAAAACCCTTTATAAGAACATTTAAAGAGATGCTCTCCCTGAGAAACAAGCAGTCAGTATATGAAGAGCTCAAAGGTAGCTGTAAAAAGGTCCATCCTCTTTATTCAGCTTGAATTTAATGGATTCTAACAGTGACCATTTTTCACAGAAAAGTCCACAGAAACTGCTCTAAATCCCTGCACCCCAGCAGTATAATGTACCTCTCTGTTCTTTATCTGTATGCTGACTATGTTCAGTCATATTTTCATATGGCTAAACAGGCCTACATTAGATAGGCCTACAATCTCAATCTTCATTCGGGACCTTGACGTGTTTGGGAAATTATTGTGCAACAATACGCCTTTTCTCAAGCTTTAAAGGTTCTTGCATGAGGTTTAAGACTGGAGGAGTGTATTTTGCTATAATTGGAACAAAAAACATACATGCATAAGCATATGGATGGAAGTGAATTATATTGCATGCAGAAATATCTTAATATTTTGATATTCCTTGCCCATTGTGAAAACTGGTTACTATGAGTATTCCCATCTTTAAGCCTTGTTGACTTGTATTTTTTATGTTCACCTACATCAACCCTGCAGGGGGAAATGTTTCCTATCAAGAGTTAGATTTTTGGTGGAATATCCCTTTAAGTCTTTTTATGTGTCACAGCGGCAGTTAATAAAGTCCCTTTTATGTTTTTATGTTTCTTTCTTGTCTCTACAGTATGATGTTTGATCTTCAGAATGATGTCTGTGCAGAGTTTGACACTAGAAGGATGTTTTCACATTAATCTGCTGAAAGTGGAAAGTTTCTCTGAGCTCATTGAACAGCAGATTTTAAGGGGCGGAGCCCACCAGCATGATTTGTGACATTACGAATAGTTTGGAGGTCAGTCCTGGTCCAGTATGCAACTTCTACAAATGTGATGTAGAAACTTAAACTTTACAGGGAAGGAGGACACATCTTGTGTGCAGCAGGGAATCTTTAGAAATGAACAAAGTTTGCATATTCAGAGATTCTGGTATTTTTAATGAGCTAGAAGGAGTAGATGTCTTTCCAAGGATTTTAATGTGGAAATTATACTTTTTGTATAAAGTCACACATTATTGTTCCAAGCAGACTCTCTGTAGTCTAGCCTATATATGTCTTCATACATGTCTGGAGGGACTCTATAAGTTGTCGTTTATAAGGTGCTAATCAGTGGGTAAATGACAATAGCATACTTCAGTTCCCATTTCAAAATCACTCACTATATGCAAGTTCTCAATACTTTATACTGCAAGCAGCCCTCTCAAGATTCACCTGTTCCTCTCCAAAGTGGCCCCTCCAGTTTGGGGCTTTACAACAGGGCTCCACCTTTAAGCCGTAAAGATCTCCACATACATTCATACATACATACATAAAGTAAAGGAATGCTGCTTTCTGTGCTTTTCAGATGAGAAGCATGTATGGGGAAATCTTAAAAGTTTGTAGCTACTTACCAATTGTGGTGATAACAGTGATGGCAAAATAAAAAGAGCCGGCGAACTTCCACTGCCTCCCGGTGCGGTGCGGCTCCGACTGGAGGACCACTCTCTCGATCTCTCTGTAGTCATCCTCGGTGAATCCGTACTTTTTCTTCAGCTCGTTCAGCTTCTGCTCCAGCGCCTTTTTCTTTGAACTCTCACTGTCCGACTCGAGTGCGTCAAAGACAGCGGCTCCTATGAGCAGGTAGAAAACGATGGAGAGGATGAGGCAGAGGGTCCTGATGTTCTGCGTCTTCATTCTCAACTCCGGATTGCGCGCGGAGCGGAGCGGAGGGAGGCAGGGTGCTGCTACTGCTGCTCAGAGGGACAGACGCACAGAGGACTAAGGGAGCATGGACTCCATTCATCTTGATGTGCTGAGGCCCCTTTGGCCTGCTAGGATTACAGCATAAGACTATAGGTTGCGTGTTGAAATTGTAGCCTGTTGCGTGTCATCAGGTGAAAAATGGCACCAAACCCGCCTGTCTGCAGTTACCTGAGCTCAGCAGCTGGCAGCACCTTGACTTTCCACAGGATGTTAAGGTGCTCACATGGCCTCATTTACCCTTAAAAGTAGGCTCACTCACACCTGCACTCACTCTGTCCACTCATTAAAGTCCCTCTCCACTCAAAACCTGTTTAGTTGTTGCTTCTTGTGCAGAGTGACTCCAGAAGGCATCTTTCACAATTATCTGATGAAGAGGGAAAGTTTCCCTGTAATCACCTTAAATCTAATTTTTTAAGACCTGTAAGCAAGATTTCACAACTGCAGACCGTGGTCTAATATACAACTTACACAAGTGTGATGGGGAAACCTGAAGATTCCGGTCAATTCCGAAAACGCACTAGGTTTGCCACTCCAGTTTAGTGTCAAATTGAACATGTAAATTGAAAAACATTTTGAAAATAACATGTTAAAAACTGCAACATATAATATAATTATCTATTATGGCCACATTTAGGACTAATTGATACGCAAATCAATGAAAAAAGACAAACAATCACATAATATATGTGATAGTTTGCATTGACTGTTATTTCTGCCAACCCTTTAAGTCCCCATGCCACCCTCTGCCCCCCCATGAATATTTCTTAAGATCTGCCCCTGCAGACACACACTATGATCCAAACCAGAGTAGGCCTATATGTTTTATAATGTCTTTACAGGATCTTAAAGCTTCATTACCATGAGTGCTGGATGGACAATGTGGCCTATAAAGCATCCAAACCAATAGATTTGATTTATTTAAAAAAATTATGTTTATATAAAAAATATATAACTATATATAATAAACTTAACATAAATTAATAATGAATATAAATAATGAACATTTCCCCCTCGATGTAATTCATGATACGCAGTATTTGTGTGTGCATGCACGTGCAGCGTTGATATCATATTCTTGGTATTCTGTCTTGGTACTCACAACACGAAGATCGTCAGTATTCATGGAGAGTTGGAGAGGATAGGGCAGAAAAATGTAAATAATGAATTTCAGTAAGCAAAACTAAAACAGTGCAGGCTGGATATCGGAGCTTAGAAAGATTTTACTGGCACTTCACTCCAAACTGGATTTTTTTAGTTTACAAGGCTGCCACTGCAGCAAAATAAAATGTGTTATTTCCTCACTTTATTTTGTGAATTATTTAAGCTGCAAACTTTCTTTAGACCGACTCCTCCTAGCTGTTAATCACTGATCCAGTGTTTGGAGAGGTTTGAGATACACGAGTGTCTGTGTGTGTGTGTTGTGTCTGTGGCTGCCACCAAGGAGCACATCAGAAACAGCTGGCTTTTCCAGACTCTACTCTCTTGATTATTTTGCCCTGTGAAGCGTTCATGTGCGGAGTATTCACAATACGCTCGGCTAAAGTATTACACTGAGCGATGAAGCATTAGCAGGTGGCGGTGCTGACCTTTATCAAGCACACTTTGTCGCTGAGTGATCCAGCAAGCCTTCATCATTAACTAAGTCCAACACACAGACTGAGTAAGAGGGAGACAGTACAGATGATTTGTGTGTATCAGTGCAGCTACACAGAGGCCTGCTTCATGGAGCCTCACTGAGGTTTTCACTGGCATCTGCTGGGTTTTTTGCTCAGTGTCATGCTAATTGGGTTCACAGCACAGCAGCCAGAAAATAGGCTGTCTGCTGTAGCTCCATGCTGCAAGTTATTTCAGTTTCATATCCTGCATGAAGTTCCCATCTATTTCAGGAGGGAATTCCAATTTGTGGCGCCTATTCATGCACTAAACCAGACCATAAAGAGCCTGAGATCTGTCATTAAAATCCACATTTATTGCCTCCATTCCATATAGAACACATGGCTATCTCTACACTGTGTTTTTATCTTCCTGAGACAGCACAGGACCATATCCCGCTTTAGTAAGCACAAATGAATCCATTGCTGAGCAGATGTTAACTGTGTAGCACGCGGACACGTCTTGATTTTCTCCACTGGCAGTGAGAGCAATTATCTCCTTTTGAAAGGAGTCCCTGAGAGATAATAGCGTCGCCAGAGTCCACTCAATGAGAGCACACAGTGCTTACATCAGTGTTATTCGACATCAATTCCTTAAGTAAATTTCTCATTCTATGGTGGAAACAAACAACCCTCAGAAGAAGTTTAGAAAGTCCCAAACAGACACATCAGTTCAGTAGCATATTGTGCACCCACAGTGAAGGACAGGTGACTTTTTTTAATAAGGATCCTGTGGTTTAACAACTCTCAAGCTATGAAGTAATGATGCTAGTATCTAGTGTACTGATCTCATATCTCTCTGTTCTACAGGACGGTGCATGCATCCCTTTATCTTTCACAGGAAGACATTAAGAGCAGGATGTCCACTGAGTGGAGTTGAGACACTCATTCGTCCAACTGGCGTCCCCATAGAAAATGAGGAGAGGGATGCAAACATGATGCTATCTTTACACTGATAACAGCGGGTGGAAATAAAGACAGTCGTTATGGTTATCATATGGTGCAGAGACAAAGTGTAATTTTGTCATAAAAACAAAAAGACTTTTTTAGGCCTTTAATTAAAAAATGCTTCATATGAACTGGCAGGCTAATGTCTCTTTGGTGACAAGTCATCAGTGTCACAGAGAGAAACAGGCTTGAACTTTGCAGCTAATGTGACCAGTCCTTTGAGCCTTATTAGCCAAAAGGGTAAGGACGTCGTCTTTGATTCCTCTACAACGTCACCTTCAGGGAGAGGTGCCTCATTCTGGGTGAGGCACCTGGTGTGAGGATGACAGAAGAAAAAAAATGTTGGTTTTTTTTATCACTGTTTTCTCAAATGACAGTAAATTGCAGCTGACTACAGTCTTTGTGTTTTGAAATTACAGTCATTGTGTCATTTTGTGTACAAGATGACAGAGTTAAAATAGAAATCTGTCTATGTTTTGGCACTGGGGTAATTTTCATCCTCTGAATGCCCTGGCGAGCAGACTACATCGGCTTTGATGCCCACATTTTGAGTACCAAATACGTAAATTGGATAGAAAAAAGCAAATAAATAAATAAATAAAAGTAACTCAAATAGAAAATCTTGATATGGTACACAGATTTATTATTTTGATATTGTTAATAATCTTGAAATGACGAGTTTCTATCTGATCTGGGAACTGTGTCGAATGGATAATGTAACAGGACAGTTTCACACTGAAATATTAGCCCGAAACAGGACAGATTCCCTGCAGTTTAATACTTGTATTGAAGTGAATGATAATCACTAACCTACAAACCAAAAGCTTGAAAATACATAACTGTTGCATAAGCCTAACAGAGACAATTAATAAAAGGCATTCAGACTTTGCTGACACGCTAATACAATCTGTAATACATTTGGTTGAAAAGTGAAGGGTTAAGGTACTAACGCGCAGCCCCATCACTTCACCATCTCTCTCCCTGTTGCATGTCCACAAGTGCATGAAGTGTGTATTTCAGCCGGTGTGTGTGTGTGTATAAAATTCCTTAATTTCTTTATTAATAAAGTATATCTTCTTTCTTCTTAGTTCAGTTCTAATAAAATCTAACTGATATCACAGTGCTCATGTATTTTTTCATTTGGCTTTCATAGAACATAAAGGCTATCAATCATTTTGCATAATATAAAAATAATTATTATTATTATGGACTGGTAATTTATTGGCTGTTTACTTCATAATAATTTCCCATTATCAGACGCTAGTATGTGCCAATAACTATTGTGCATCCCTAATAAGAAGTATTGATGTAAGTGTATTCTATAAGACAGCAGAAAAATGTAACCTTAAAAAAAAAAAAGGGAAACAGAAAAAAAAAATTGTATACTGATAACATGTTAGTTACATGTAATCCATTACTCCTCAAGCCTGATGGTTACAGTTGTAATCCTGCAAATAATCCTCATTTTTACTAACTGTAACTGTCTCATAACGTATTTTTTCTGTAACTGTAATTGCTTGCTCTTCTCTTTTGAGTATCCTGATCACATAACTCCGTTACATGTAATCCATTACTCCCTCCCTAAGCCCAATTACAAATTACTCGTTACTTTTCCCTCCATACAATGTGATTCACTAGCAGTTAGCTGCTTCCTCGTTAGTTTCCAAGGTAACAACTCAACATATGTGTTGTTTATATGTGTTTTAACCTCAATCTCAGTACACATTAACTATAGAGTGAGCAGCCATTATGCAAAGTGAGGCTGTGGGCGTTGGTTGCTGAATAAGTTTCTATTATCCGTAAAGACAACTCCAGAGAGAGTGAAAGTGAAACAGACTTCATGTAGTGCTCGGTGGTCCCAGATGTCGGTCGTGTCAGTTCTGTCTCGCTTCTTCAGGAGGTTTGTGATGGACTTCCTTGCCTTCCTGTCTCCAGTGTTAGGTTATGGGTTAAGGTTATGGCGCATAGCAGGTATCATATGGCGCTGTACTGTAAAAACGGCCTGCCAAATAGCCAGAACTGTATCAAGAGCGATACGCTGGCCAAAGGAAACCGAGACAAGAGGCCCGTTTGAGCCCGGACCGGGTGAAATAAGCGACGACGAGGACGAACTTCCGGCGAAAAGTTCCCTTCAATCGAGGGTCGAAGGGTCCGACTTTGAGGGTCAACATGAGGCAGCGGTTGGGGAGAGGGCCGCCGCCGCCGCCGCCTCCAACAGAGAGCTGCCAGTGTCAGCAGAGTGCGAAGAAGAAGAGGAGTTTGACAACGAGCAGTATCGGGTTAGAACCACAGATGAGTTGTACTGTGACTATGATTCAACCTGGGAGACCGAGGAGACTGAGGAGGTTCGGCAAAGAACAAGGTCCAGAAGATCAGCAGCGTCCAGATACGTGAGTGGACCCGGGCCGGCTGCATGTACTCGACTCTGCTTTCACTTTAAGCCTGCAGGAAGTGTCCTATATTCAGGCTTTTTAGCTGTGCCTTTTGGTCTTGTGATCTTACAGTGATTTATATTGCATGTGGGGAATCACTACTGCAACTTGTAGACTGTTGTTACATTTTCAACACTGGTTTTTGGGCCAGGGTGACTTGGCAAAGTATTACTATAACGGTACTGCGATGTGTTTGTTGTTAGGCCTACCATAAATAACTTGCAGCGGTATAGGAGTACTAATAGATATAGTGTACTGCATTCAAAATCATAGGCCTACTTAAGTAAAAGCATTCATTATGTATCAGAATTAAAAGTAGTCAGTAAAATTAAACTTGTCAGTGTTTTACTGTTGTGTTATTTTGGATTAATATGCTTGCAGCATTAATGTGTATGGTGCGTTTTACTGCTGTAGATGTTTAAATGTGAGAGTTTATTTAGTTTACGACGTAGGAGATTTTTTCCAACCCATAAAGTTTGAAATGTTTTAACTGACCTGCCTTTATTTTCTGCTCACCAGAACAAGTTCAGCAGATTTGAAACTGCCGCAATAGACATGCAGAACTACAGGCATGACTACCCTGTAAGTGACACACACACACACACACACACACACACACACACACACACGCATAGCCACAGTACACACTGCAAACATCCACTGTCCCATGTTTAAGTGTAAGCCATGCACACATTGTTCTTTTGTATCTCCCCGCAGTCCCAGAACATGCAGTATGGCTGGAAAACGAAAAGATCTGTGAGTACACACACGATGACTGTGTGTTAATATGATAGTATTATATGACTTTTGCTTTATATAAAAAATAAATACGTGTCTAACTGCAGTGTTCTTCTGTTGAGTAGGATGACAAGCCTAACTTGAACTTCTACCTCGGAGAGAAGCCCTCTGAACCAGACGGTAGGCCTACAGTCACAAGCCCACTGTGAAGTCCATGCACATAAACAAGCTCTGTATTGTGATTTAAAGGTCCAGTGTGTAGGATTTAGTGGCATCTGGTGGTGTTATTGCACATCACAGCTCCCTCCCTCCAATTTCTGACAACAGATCCTCCTAAATGTTTCACACTGGACCTTTAATTTGTCAAATCAGTTTAATTGCAGTCCAAATCCAAATATACATCCGACAAAAATAATGTTCTTAATCAAGAACGGGATTAAATCAGTGGTCCACAACCTTTTGAGAAGGTTGACCAGAGTGATTTTCCCGCCTCACATCGTTTCATTTGAATAACTTTTGTCCTGAAGCAGTAAAGCAGTTTATTTAACCAGAGAACAGCAATGACTATAGAAACACTTGTGCTGCAGGAACATCTGGTCCACCCACCAGACTGGGAACTACTGGATTAATCTAATCTACATCTATTTAGATATTAATTTACTTCTACTCTTATTTGTTGTCAGGTATCTACATAAATGCCTTCCACAATCAGTGGTCTAAAGACTATGCTTCACTGGAGTATGTACACACGTACATTCAGTGGTAAGTTACTCTATAATCACAGATGTAATGTAAAACATTCACTTCCTGTTTCTACAATTTGTGGTAACATTTTTCTCTCTAAGGTTGTTCCCACTGCAAGAACCAGGGGTGAACTATGAGGCCAAACCATTGACAAAAGAAGAAATTAAGGTCCTAAAAGCTACAAAGTTAATATTTTTTAAAAGAAAGTGTTTCACAAATTCTGATTGAATTTTTGTCTTTGCTTTAGGATTTTCTTCAAAGCGAGACTGCAAAGAAAAATCTGTTGAAGTCGTACAAGCTCATGTTGGGCTTCTATGGTATCGAGTTGTGTAATGAGGAAACAGGAGAAGTCCGGAGAGCACCAAACTGGAGAGAAAGATACTACAACCTTAATAAGTGAGCTTTGATTTTATTCAAACATATTGTTCACTAAAAGTAACAGAACCTACTAGATTATCTTTTTTGCTCATTTTGCTGTTTGTCATTAACAGCCACACACATAACAGCCTGCGCATCACCCGCATCCTCAAGTGCCAGGGAAATCTGGGGTTCCCCCACTACCAAGCCCCCCTGGTCCGCTTCTTCCTGGAGGAGACTCTCGTCCACGGACTACTGCCAAATATAAAGGACAGCGTTCTCAACTACTTTTTGTTTGCTGTCCTCGATAAGAAGCAGCGCAGGCGTCTTATCAAGTATGCCTATTTCAACTATGACCGTAAAGATGAGTTTGTATGGTGCCCAAAGAAAATTCAGACAATTTGGTCTAGGCTTAGCCAAGAATCAAGATTCTGAGGCTGAACAGTGGTGATTAAGCCAAAGAGGAGTTACATGAAGCAGCCAAAAGCAGAATGTGCCCCAAATCCATTCTACATACTCATTCTAAACACTTCACACTAACCATCATAGATTCAAAAAGAAGCCAATTAAAGTTGACATCAAAATCATAATTTTCCTAAAATGTTATACTTTTTTTTTTGTTTGTTTTTCTGAGATTTGTTGGAGCTATTTCACCATCACCCACAATGTACTTACATTTTTAGCAGCAGTGAGTTGCTCCTCCAATTCCTTTGTGTGTTACATTGAGAAGGACTAATGTGCATCAACAGTACACTCAAAGATGAGCCACATTTAGTATGCATACTGTGTGCTTTAAGTATACTTCATTTTGTTACTTTTCTAGTGTGAATACACTCCACATTCTAACAGCCTGCTCAGAATCCATGGCGTGTCTGAAAACCTGATGTGTCTGCCGCCATAGGTTATAGTTATATTAGATTTGCCTTCAGCAGCAGTTAGCGGAGGAGGTTATCACAAAGCACAAATAACTGTAATATAGGGCTCATTTACATCTGCTAATGTAATGCAGATAAAATATCCAGCCCTGAAGAGAATGTCACATAGGGTCAAAGACAGAAGACGGGGGCGGCGATGATGAATTATCTAGTGACGAAGAGGCATATTCTCCACACACTGCACATTATCTTCACAGGGAAATTTCCTAAATCGTTCATAAACATTTATTGGGCTTTATACACTGAACCAAAAAGTATTGTTATACGTGTAAATTATTTTGTGGCTTTTAGTATCCACAGTTTGATTCCTGGACTTTCTATTCTTGTTTTGTTCTTTAACTTTCACAAACACATGGATGTTTTATACAGAAAAAGTTGTGGTGTTGAAAAATGAAGCACTCTAAGAATTGTTTAACAGTTTGGACTGTGTTCTTAATTGTGTTTTCTTGTTTGTATCCGGTTGTTTTACATGGAGAATTAATAAAATGTACCTAAATGCCTTACATGATCCTAGATTTCTCACTGTTGCATTTATTTAGATCTGTATAATATCATTCATTCATCACACATATTATCAAATACGGCTTCTGTCGTGGAAGGGTTGCATTTAAAGCTGGATCATCACTGAAAACAGAAGATAGAGTCTACTCTCAGTACTGTGTTTGAATGGTGCAGTAATCCTGATGATCATGCATTATAACAGGTTCGGACGTCTTTCTGACACTGGTCACGTGACTCCTTACCACCTGAAGCCACTCATGTATTATTGAACCACAATGTAAAAAAAAAAATCGCTAAGCAATGTTACATTACATTGGGACCAAGACTTAATTCATATTTCACCCAGAAAACAACTATTTACAAAAAGAGACAAACGCATGTCATCAAACGGGTTTAATTGGTTGAGCTGAAAGAAAATCAGGACATTTCATTAACAACCATCGATGGGGTGTATACTGTAGATAGTTGGAGCCTTTAAGTTCAAACCTGCTGGACATATAAACACACATTTGTGTGTAAACAGTGATGCTTTAACTTTCACATTATCCATCTCAGATATATGGCTTTTAATTTCTCTACTTAGAAAAGTATGATTAAAAACATCAGTATATACACAAATACATTCATATTTACATATTGCAAATGGTATGTTAATCACTTACATTATTGTTTTCTTTAAAAAATGCTTTTACAGGAGGAAGGTACATGTAATAGGACTCAGTAGCCTACCTAATACATCTTTAACACAAGCAACTTAGATGGCCTTCAGGATTTTGTTAGTCAAATGTGATAAAACAAACTTAGAAACCTTTAAGTGACAAAAAGAATACAAACATTGTCAAACTTTTTTCTAGTAGGAACACAACTGGAAATTTAACAAAATACTGTTTATCTACATTTACAGTGATGACTTCAACTGGTGAAAGATTTAAATGTCTCTCAAAACAGTGATGTAGTGTCCATAACACAGATACTAGGACATATTCTTGTCATTTTCTGCACTTTTGTCACTCTCCTTGGGGGTATCATGTTTACTGTCCTTTTTCTCCTCTCGCTTTTCTCTACTTCTGCTCCTGTCTCGACGATCCCTGTCTTTGTCTTTGTCCTTGTCTTTGTCCCTGTCTCTCTCTCTCTCCCTCTCCCTGTCTCTATCTCTGTCCCTGCCCCGGTCTTTCCCACGGTCCCTGTCCCTGTCTCGGTCACGTTCCCTGCTTCGGGATCTGTCCCGTCTTCTGTCTCGCTCTCGCTCTCGCTCACGGTCGCGGTCTCGGTCTCGGTCTCGCTCACGTTCCCGGTCACGGTTTCTCCCCCTGTCGCGGTCGTGGTCTCTCCTGTCAGAATCCCTGGGTCTCTCTCTTTCCCTGTCTCTCTCCCGGTCTCTCCTCTTGTCTGTGTCTTGATCCCTGTGTCGCTCTCCCTCCGTCTCCCTGTGTCGCTCTCCCTCCGTCTCCCTGTGTCGCTCTCCCTCCGTCTCCCTGTGCCTCTCACCCTCCCTCCCTCTGCTGCGCTCTCTTTCTCGGGTACGCTCCTGATCACGGTCCCTTTCTCTACCTCTATCCCACTCTCGCTCTCTGCTCCACCGCTTGCCCTGGCCCCTGTCCCATGACAGCCTGGCAGTGTGGGGGACATCCCGCTCTCTTTCCCTTCGGCGGTCCTCGGACAGACCCCTTGGTCTCTCTTCGGAGGGTTGTGAGGGACCAGTGGCAGGTTCTCTGTGTCCTCCTTCAAAGCGACTGAAGCGGTCTCCGCTGCTGGGTTCTGAGTCCTCTCGGGCGGTGCTGGTCCTCCTCCTCATTTCAGGAGAGTGCCGGTGCCAGTGGTCGTCCCTGTGCAGGTCTGGACTGTGGGCTCCCATGCGACCTGGGGGACCTAAGGGAGCCTCTGGTGGAGTTGGCAATAGCGGCCCACTGTGGCGAACAGGTCTGGCCTCATCAGAGTGCCTATCCAAGCGGTACCGCTCTGATCCTCCAAAACGCTGAGATGGGTGGGGTCTATTCTCATGAGGGGGAGGGCCTCTGTGCTCATCAAATGATCCTCGATGCGGTGGTGAGGAGTGTGGTCTGGAGCTCCCATACTGATTATGTGGACTGAAGTGCTGTCCACTCGTTTCGCCACTGGAAGGTGGGCCTCTTCTGTCCTCGTACTGGTTAGGTGGAGGTCCCCGGTATGCTGGACCTGGTGGGGGACCCTGATTGTCTTTAAAAATACGCAGAGAGTTTGGATTCTGGTCCACATTTAGCTTAAAGGAGTTAGAATTGTCTTTGTTATACTGTTCTGCAGGGCCTCGAGGTTGGTCTACCATCTGTGGTTGCGCCCCATGGTCACCATACTGAGATGGCGGGGGACCCCTTGGCCCTGGGAAGTGGGACGGAGGAGGGAGTCTGTTATCAAAGTGAGCGAGAGGTGGCCCCGAGAATGGTGGAGGAGGACCTCTATTTGCAGGGAAATTAAATGGTGGTGGAGGACCGGTGAATCGTGGTGGAGGTAAACTGTTCTGTCCATCAAAAGCAGGAGGTGGGGGAAGGCCTGGAGGGGGGCCTTGCTGTCCAATGTGCTGAGGGGGAATGGAGGGATCAAACATTTGAGGAGCAGGGCCTCTCTGGGCCATTGGAGGGAATGGTGGTGGTAGTCCTCTAGGTGGCAGGATATTCTGAGGAAGTTGTCCAGGAGGAGGCTGCTGCTGTGGGGGTGGCTGGGTGCCTGGCCACTGGTTCTGATAGGGAGGGTATGCAGCCGGCGGTGGGCCATATTGCTGGCTGCTGTCAGCCTGCATGGGGGGAGGACCACGTACAGGGGGAGGAACATGCATGGGTGGAAGGGGTCCCTGCATTGGAGGGGGGCCTGACATTGGAGGAAGACCTTGCATGGGTGGTGGCATAGACATCGGCGGTGGCCTCATTAACATGTTTTGTCCCTGCATCGGATGGGGCGGGGGGAAGTTGGATGGTGGGGGGATGTCAGCTGGAGGTCTGTACTCGCTGTTGAAGCCTGAAGCTGACATGAGATGCGGCATGTGATGGGACTGAGTGTCAACCATTGCTGTGCTCTGAGTGAGTACTGGGATTGTAGAGGTAATTGTGGAGGTGTTTGCAGGCTCATTATAATAACTTTGGGTTGGTGTATCTTGACTATTCTCCTCATACTCTGAGTCCTCGCCCACTTTTAAAATACTGGCAGCATTTGGCCAAATACTGTACTTATCCATCTCTGTTTCCGCCTTGATTGGCTCAGCTTCCTCAGTTTTCACTTCATCCTCATCCATGTAGTTGACCTCCATATCAGGTTCCATTTCCTCTCCTAACAATGGAATTGACACCTCCACCTTGTCTGGCTCCATGAAGGGTAGCATCTCGCTTTTCACTTCCTCTTGAGGCGGTGATGTCTCTGGGCCTTGTGAGGAGTCAGGGAGCTCCGCTACATTAAACAGCTGAGGCTCTTGAACCGCAGGTTGTGAAGGAGTGGAATCTGGCAACAGAGCAGATATCTCCTCTTTCTCCTCGGGTTCATCAGTTGATTTCCTGCCAGCTGTAGCCTGGCGAGGATCCCTGCTCTGTCGGGGATCTCTCCTCTGGTTGATCAAGGGAGCAACCGATGAAGACTTCACTAGCTCCTCAACCTTTTTGCCAAGCTGCAGTAGTTGAGTATTGGCCAAAAGGGATTTGGTAGGTTGAGTTAAAAGTGTGTCCGGAAGTGTCAATGACGCACCAGGTGTAACTGTGGATGACATTTGCTGCTCTCCCTGTTTCTGGAATGTAGTATCCCCAATCTGTTTAAGGCTCTCCAAGATCTTTTGTGGATCTGCTATAGACTCTGTAACAGCCTTAGCTTGACCTGGTGCTAAAGTTCTGACGTCCTCAAAAATGGAGTCATCCTCTGGGTCATATGCCACATCATCACCTTCATTCGCAACCACCTCAGGTTGCTTAGAGGTTTCTGGCTTGCTTACTACTTTAACAGGCTTCTTAGGCACATTGTAGCCCCTACTGGGATCATACTCTTCTTCTGGATCGTACGGTCGGTCATCTTCATCCTCCTCCACCTGTTTTTCTTTAGAACTCTGTGCAAATTGCCGCACAATGGGGTCTAGCATTGTAGCAGCCGGGACGGAGAGTTCCCCACCCTGATCAGAAGGAGAGTTGGAAGCCTCTGAGTCCTTTTTCTTCCCAAAAAGAGTATTAAGGATGGTCTGAAGAGGAGTGGCAGTCGCTGCAGAGGAAGCAACAGAGCTGGAAGAAGATGGGGAGTCCTTGCCAGTGGTAGTGGATGTGGCTGGAGCTTTGACAGAAGATAAGAAAGAAAGGACTGAGGAGGTGGTCACAGTGCTGCTTGAGGTCTCAGAGGAGCTGAGTGGAGGTGACCCTGGAGGAGTTGTGCTGAAGGGGATTTCAAGACTCTGTCGTGAGCTTCTTTCTGCTCTAACTGAAGGAGACGGCTTTGGAAGACCACTGTCATCTGCATCTTTGGTCTGAGTCTTGGATCGTTTTTCTTCAGTTTCCAGTGGTGCACCAGCTCGCTTTCTGTCCTTCTGGCAGATCAGGAGGCCCAAGAGGAGGTTTGGACGAGCTGGTTCAAGCCCTGCAAGGAGGACAAAACAAGAATCTTAGAAAAGATTTGCATGCAGATAGCTAGCAGATACAATGTCACAAAATAGACTGCCATTATTTATATGAAGCTACAAAAGGTTTGATAAAGCATTTCTGACTTTTGTAATAAAACACAGGAGAAATGAGAGCCTTTAAATACTTAAAATACAAAATGTAATGTCCATGATACATACAGAAAGAACCAGAAGCCCAAAATATGCTATCAGATATAAAAGCAACGTTCTCCTAACTTCAAAACATATCCTTTAATACAACAAAGGTAGTGATATGACTATGCACGTTTCCATGTCTACAGTACGGCAAATAGTCAGTAGACAATAAATGTAATGATGAATTCAAAAACATGAGTAATAAACATGTCAACATTAGTAAATGAGTGCCAGCTGCAGAGAAACATTTGTTG